TGCTGGTTATGCTGATGATGATGATGGTGGTGATCACGAAAATGGTGATGCTGATAATGCTGATGATCATGATGCTGCTGCTAATGATGATTATGCTGATGGTCATCGTGATGATGCTGATGCCGATGACGATGATGATGACGATAATGATGCTTATTATATTGAAGATTATGGTGATGACGATGACGGGTATGGTGATGATGGTGATGATGCTGCTGACGATGATGATGATGATGATGATGATGATGATGAATCTGGTTATGCTGCTGGTGATGATGACGATACTGATGATGATGCTGCTGATGATGATGACGATGATACCGATGACGAGCATGCTGTGGATGATGTTGATGATAATGATGAGGGTGATGATGCGAACGATGACGCTGCTGATGTTGATGACGCTGATAACGAAGATGATGATGTTGATGATGATGCTGATGATGATGATGGTGATGATGATGATGCTTATGATGATGGTGATGATCATGCATATGATGATGATGATGATGATGTCGATCGCGATGATGCCGATGCTGGTGGTGATGATCACGCTGTTCATGATGATGATGATGATGATGATGATGATGATGATGATGCTGCTGCTGATGATGATGATGATGATGCTACTGATGATGATGCTGATGGCGATGCTGATGCTGGCGATGAGTCTGCTGATAATGATGATGATGCTGATGGGAATGATGATGATGCTGCCGATGATGACGATAATGATGATGATGACAATGTCGATGACGATGGCTAGGATGATGATGATGCTGATGATGATGATTGTGATGGTGCTGACTGATGATGATGATGATGATGATGATGACGATGATGGTGGTGGTGGTGGTGGTGATGTCGATGACGATGATGGTGATGCTGACGACGCCTATGATGATGATGCTGATAACTATGACTATGACTATGAGTATGATTCTGACTATGATTGGCGATGCTGATGCTGACGATGGTGATGATGATGGTGACAACGATGACGATGCTGATAATGATGATAATGATGATGACCATGATCCTTCGCTTTTTTGTTGATGCTGCTGATGCTGGTGGTGATGATGATGATGGTGCTGATTACGACTATGATGATGATGATGATGATGATGATGATGATGATGATGATGATGCTGATCATGGTGATAATGACCATGACGATGACGATGATGATGATGATTAAGAAGGAGCTGATGATGATGTTTTTGATGTTGATACTGATGATGATACTGCTTATGATGCTGATGATGATTATGATGATGTTGGTACTGATGATGATGATGATGCTGATGCTGATGCTGATCCTGACGATGAACATGTTGATGGTGATGCTGCTGATGATGATGCTGATCCTGAGGATGATGATGGTGAGATGCTGATAATCATGATGATGACAACGATGATGAGGAGGACGATAACGATGATGATAATGCTGCTGATGATACTCATGATAATGATGGTGCTGATGCTGATGACTTCGATCATGATGATTTAAATGAAGATGAGGATGATGCTCATGATGATGATGATGATGCTGACGCGACGATTATTATGATGTTGCCGCTGATGATTATGATGAAGATGAAAATGAAGATGAAGATGATGATGATGATGATGATGATGATGATGATTCTGATGCTGATGCTGATGATGATGAAGATGACTATTATTGTTAGTATTATTATTATTATCGTTATATTATTATTATAACAATTATTATGATTCTGATGATGCTGATGATGATGATGATGATGATGATGATGATGATGATGCTGCTGCTGATGATGATGATGATGATGATGATGATGATGATGCTTATGATGATGATGATGATGATGATGATGATGATGATGATGATGATGATGATGATGATGATTATGACCATCATTATTATTATTATTATATTATTATTATTAAAGAGGCTTACGCCAGTCCGCCGCTCCCCAGACGAAGGGAGGCCTTGTGGGCGTCGTGAAGCTTCATCACAGTCTCCTGGGCGCTTGTTCGCTGTTTTTTCGACGGCGTCACGCGCATGGGATGCCTTCAAGTGTCCAGGTGCGTCGGAGGAGTGGACGCCGCGCAGTCGTTACTCCGTGCATGAGGCTCACTTATCCTGCGCTTCTCGGGAGAGGAGCTTTGAAATATGTCGTGCGTCGCGCATGAAGCCCAGATAATAGTCTGAGCTCTCTGCAATTATTCTTAAATCATGTGTTTCTTTTTTATAATGAGCATGTGTATTCCACGGTGTACGATGGAACCCGGCACCGACGACACACATGTGCTGTGCTTTGTAGATGTTCGTACTCACACCTGTTTATAGGCTTTCCCGACCTGGACCACTACGGTTGGGGCCTTAATCAAGGAATATGCCCTGTAGATTTCAGTGCTTGGAGGAGTCCTTATCTAACGAGGGCGGTGGTGATATACATGGCCAATCCACGATTGGGCTATCCACTGGCTTCCAGGCCCTGGATTTCTGATTCAGTGGTTTCTTATCCACTGCCCTCGCCGCATGTAAGAGAGCGAGACTTGCAGAGTTTGGTTGTCTCAGGCCGAAGTTTTCTGAATCATTCATTGTGTCGCGCACGCGCGACACAAAACAAATCTTTCGTCAAGTACTCACGCGTTCTGATGTGAGGAGGAGGGATGCATGGGCTGTTGAGCCGGGCGTGTCCCTCTACAGGATGAAGCTACAAAGATATTCAAATAATAGTGCGGGGACGATGTTTTGCGTATTTTTGTGCTATGCTCTTGAATATTTTGGGGATGCTCCAGAATCCGCCTGCAGGGGGACACGCCCGACCTAAGGGTATTTTTCGGAGGGTGGGATTGACCTTGCGACGGAGCTTGTCCAGCCCCTTCCACTCTCCCTCCTCCCCCTTCCTCTCACCTTCTTCTCCTCCTGCTGCTCCTCCTCCTCCTCCTCCTCCCCCAACCCCCCTCCACCCGTTCCAGCAGCACGTGCCCCCCCCCCCCCCCCCCCCGACCCCCCCGCAGATCCAAGGGGGGTGCGAACATTGTCCCACCATCCAGAGTAGCCGAAGCCCCGTCTCCAAGCGCCTTTGGCTCGGATGCCATTCCCATACCGAAGCAGGCTTCCGCCGCGCCTGCTGAGTCAAAGTCGAACAACGCCCCCCTCCACCCCCTTCCCCACCCCCGCCCTGGACTTGTCCCGCCGCCTGCTAACGCGGCTGGGCGCTCAGTTCCACCCGCGTGCACGGCATTCCGGATGGCTACAGTGGCCTCGCGCATGCGTCGCTGAGCGTGCCGTCGTATGCTGCGTCCGCCCCTCCTCTTCTCAGGGACGAGCAGTGATGTCCTTCTGCGTCGTGCAGGGCTACAGTTAAGTCGGGCGTGTCTCTCTACAGGAGGAATATTCAAAAATAGTAAAAACATGGTCCCAGACGATTCTTCGACTATTTTTTGACCACTTCTCATCTTTTTGCTTATTTTTTGTTTTTTCCGTCAAATCCGCCTGCAGGAGGACATGCCCGACCTGAGGCTACAGTCAACCCGCGTAGCAAGGATGAGCAACTTCCCAACGTTACCTTGCATCCTGCCCTTTCGGCCCATCCCTGACCGCTTTCGCTGGCCGCGCCCCGCTCGCAGAGTGCCGACACGGCCTCCCAGGGGGCCCCCGCACCCTCGCCGTGCGTCCTCGCGACTCGGGTCGACGTCAGGGCTCGCGCGCGTCTCTTCTCCGAGGCGGGAATTTTACGTGGCCGCCGCCTGGAGGATCAGTTTTCGGAGCCTCGGCAGGCGGTGGATGTGGACATATTCGGGTCCGTGGGGTCCGAAGTACAGCCGTATCCACCGCCCGCTAGGGCACCAGGACGTCGGTTCCCGCTCCCTGCCCCGAGCCGCGGCCGAGGCACGGGCCGCGTCCGCGCCCCGCTGAACGCGGTGGTCAGCGCCAAGGCCGCCCGCACCCCGCGCGCCTTCGGCCGGGGGGGCTGGCCTCAGGTGGTGAGGCCGCGGCCCTTCCCGGGGGGAGCGTTAAGTCGGGCCTGTCCCCCTACAGGGGAATTTTCGACGAAAAATAGAAAATACCCCCCAAATAGTCAAAAAATACTCCAAACATAGTCTGGGGACTCTTTTTTTTTTTTTTTTTGTTTTTGTTGCCTTTTTGGAGTATTTTGGGGATATTTTTATTTTCTCGTCGAAAATCCCCCTGTAGGGGGACACGCCCGACATAAGGGGAGCGGCCCACGGGCCGACCTCGGGGCCTCTCGGGCTCAGATGTCGGGGCAGCTTCGGGCCACGGGCCGGCCTCGGGGCAGCTTCGAGCCGGTCGATCCGAGCCGCAGCCGATTCCGGCCGGGCCGATGCGATGCGATTCCGGTGCCGCGGCGTTCGCCGTGGGGGAGGCGGGTCCCGAGGGAGGCGGGTCCCGAGGTCGTTCGCCGTGTCTGGCTCCGCGGGCCCTCCACGGGCCCCGGGACTGTCAGAGGCCGTTTCAGGATTAGGGGGCCGCATGCGAACCCTACCCCTACCCCCCACAATTTCTGAGGGGAAGGGTGGGGTTTATTTTGCTCGGGAGCTCCCGAACGAAGTGAACCCCACCCTCCCCCTCAGAAATCGTGGGGGGTAGCGGTAGGGTTCGCATGTGGCCCCCTAAGGATGGAGAGCTCGTCCTGGGGGGAGGCGCCAGGGTCCAGGACGCGTTCTCCTCGGGGTACGCTTCCCCCATGCTGAGACGCCGCGACGTCCCGATGCAGACCGCTGCTTGCTGCACGGCGCTTGTTGAGCATCCGAGTGCGGCGGATCCGATTCGACTCCGACTGCGGGCTCGTGCGGCCCGTCTTGGTGCACATTCCGACCCGATCCGATTTATCGATTCGATGCCGGCCGCTTTTCTAGGGGGGACCAGGCGGCGTTCTTTCCAAAGAGCCCCTCGCTAGAGGCCCAGAGGAACCCTGGGCCAGGATCACCTCTGGCGACCTTCGACTCGGGGGCTCTTGCTCAGCCGAGCAGGGCGACGCTTCGTCGTCTACCCTGAGCGGCTCGTTCGATGCACTGAGATTTTGTTTAGTTATGTTTGTGATTACTGAAACCAATGGGGTGTGGAGCTTTCCATCCTCCTCATCCTTCTCTCCTCTTCTCTATTCAAGAGGCTTACGCCAGTCCGCCGACTCCCAGAAGAGGGATGAAGGCCACGGGTAAGGCCTCCTGGGGACCATCTGGGGGCCTCTTTTGGGCCTCTGGGGGCCTCTTCGGGCCGCTTGGGAGTTTCTTGGGCGCCTGCTGGCGGTTTCGGGGGTCCTCTTGGGGCGGAGGGCTCGGAATGTCAGTTCGAGTTGCCTTTCTTGGGTCCCTCTTGGGGCCCTGTTGGGGCTCTCTTGGGCTCCTCTTTGGGCCGTCTTGGGAGCCTCGTCGGCCGTCTTGGCCCCTCCTTGGGGGCCTCTTGGGCCATCTTGGAACGATCATAGGGGGCCTCTTGAGTCGTGCTTGACGCTGGTGAGACCAAACATGATAATATTGTAGAATTATATGTGTTCCTGAGGATTTGGACGATACTTGCTTCTCGCGGCTCTTTGTGGGGTCTTCTTGAAGCCCTCTTGGGACGTCTTTAGGCCTCTTGGGCAGTCTTGAGGCTATCTTGGTCGTCATCGAGGACTCTTGTGCGTGTTGGAACCCTGCTTGAGCAAGCGTAGATCGTTTCTACTGCATCTTAGATGGAGGCTCTGGAGGCCCTGGAGGAGCGTTGGTTAAGGGGAGCGCTGGTGAGCTCAGGACCCCCCAGCCCTCTCCCCTTCTCATCGCATTTCAGACCCCAGGGCTTGGTAGCAAATCATGTGAGCCGGGTATACCCTCTGAATTCTGTCTTTAGCGTCGATGAGCGTTGTTCAGCGTCTGGGAGTGGAAGAGAGAGCGCCGATTTTAGCGTTGATTAGCGTCGATTTAGCGTCGATTAGCGTCGATTTAGCGTCGACTAGCGTCGATTCACAAGAGCCGATCAGATGGTATGGGAGGCTCCGATGAGCTGCGACGAACCAGGATAGTGGGAGAGGGGAAGGGGGACAGCCAATCATCTCACGCGCCTCTGTACCACTGGCAAGCGGGGGTCCGCGGACTCTACTCTCATGTGATCCTACTCTCTCGTATCCTCTCCTCACTGCTAGCCCGTCCTGTTCGGCCGTGTCCTTTCCTGCCCTGTCCTGTCCTGTCACCTCTTTTTCTTATTCTTTCTCTTCTTGCCATTACTCTTACTCTTTCTCTCCACAGGTATAATTATAATGATTCTTATGACTCCTTTGAACATGCCCAGGTTCAGCGTTTTCCTCAGTCAACATTTTGTTGTCTTGATATTAGTGTCATAAGTAATTCGTCCTTATTGCCTCATTATGTTTCTTCCTGTGAAGTACAGCATCCTCTCATTTTTCCTCCTTCTCAGTTGCCTTGAGCTTTGGGAGGGTCACTCGATCATCTCCTGCTGGCCCTCACCCTTCCCGCATCGAAGGCCCACTCGTCGTGCAGCCTCCTGTTCCTCCTCGCCCCTCAGGGCCAACTCTTCTTCTTCTTCTTCGTCTTCTTCTTCTTCTTCCTCCTCCTCTTCCTCTTCTTTTCCCCCATCCGACCAGCATCACCCACGCACCGACGTGTTAGACACTCATTCGGGGGTGCGGCACGCGTAGCGAGTATCAGACGACATGCACCTCCCAGAGCAGAGCCGAGCCTCCTCCTCCATGTCTTCCTCGTCTTCCTCCTCGCAGTCTGGCTTTAAACGCCGCAGGCTTGGACGCGTCGGCCAACGCCACCATCGCTGTCGCCATCACCCGATTCGCTGGCCCTGAAAAGGGGGTGGCGGCGGCAGTGGCATTGCCGAAGCGCGCCCAGAGTTCATCAAGACATACTCTTGGTGCCAGTTTGCTCTTGGTGCCAGTTTGTTTGGTCGATCTGCCCCGTCTGGGTTGCGACCACTTAGATTGCCATTGAGTTTGCCCAATTCTGGTGCGATTCATTTTCTCCGCCGCTCAGTGCGCGGTGCTAGATGATACAATGCGGGGGCTTTTCTCATATCAGGCCCCCCTCCTCCCTTTCCTCCTCGTGCCCCTCGTCCTCCTCCGCTCCTCTTCCTCCTTCCTCTCCTGGCTTTTGTTTCAATACCACTTGATCTTTCGATCCGCCTGACCGCCGGCAGCCACACTAGTGCACCATCCAGCGCTCCTAACGCAGCGTCGTTCGGGAGCAATGTCCTTTGTGACCTGACGCGCACAGACCAGAGGATTCATTAGGCGTGCTTGGCTGCGATGTGTTTTCCCTCCCTTCCTGTCCGTTCTCGTGCAGTACCGACTGCCAGGAGCCCTCCCCGCGAGGCGCCAGCTATGCACCCCGGCCAGTTTTCTCGGCAGGCTTTGCGCTGTGGGCCTCACCACCCAGACTTGGACGTAGCAGCACAGAAGAGAGTTCATCATCGAGGCATGCGGGTGCAAACCCGACTTGTCTGGTTGCAGCTCGGGGGGGGGGGGGCTGTGCACAGGGGACAAGGGCGCCCTCGAGGGCGCGAAATCATTCGCGCTTCGCGCTTCGCGGCGCGGCTCCAATTCCTCCTCCTCCTCCTCCTCCTCCTCCTCCTCCTCCTCCTCCTCTTCCTCCTCTCCCCTGGGTGGCAGCGCAAGAGCGCGGCTTGATTCGCGCTTCTCGCTTCGCGCAGCGCGAAGCGCGAAGCCAGGCGCCCTTTGGGGGAGGCGGTCGCACCGCTCGACGACGTGCTCAGGGGTGGCCCGCCCCCTTTCTGGTGCACCTCAGCTTCGGCCCTGGGCTCAGCCGCGAGGCGCTCCGCAGCCCACCCGAGTCGGCTTTCGGCTCGCACGGGTGCCTCCCTCCACTCCGCCGGCCGTCGGCTGCTTCCCGGAGCTTGATTGTGCCAGGGCCTCCTGGAGTGCCGGCGCTGGGCTGGCGCTGGTCCCAGCTCATGGGAGGGTGCTGGGATTGCCGTGAAGTCGGGCCCGTCCCTCTACAGGAGGAGTATTCAAAAACAGTAAACAGATAGTCCGGGGACATTTTTTTTGGTTTCTCAGTATTTTTGACTATTTTTGGGGTATTTTGCTGCATTTTTCGTCCAAAATCCGTCTGTGGGGGGACATGCCCGACCTAAGATTGGCGGCCGGGTGCCAGCTCCTGGGGGAGTGCTCGGGGCTCAAGGGACGGGGGTCAGTGCAAACGGGGGTCAGCCAGAGCGTTGGATCTTGCAGCATCCTGCAGGGCCAGGGGTGCACTTACCCGGGTTGGGGTGCAGGTTCTTGCAGGATCTTGCAGGATCCTGCAAAGGCCGACTGGCCCAGGTTTGCATTGACCCGGGTCAGTACGTGTCCGAAGCGCCGGGTCGAGAATTCGGGGCCAACCGTTGGCCCTGGACTCTCGACATCCTGTGCCGGCGGCCGACGGGATTATAGTCCTTCGCTCGTGTACTTTGCTGGAGCTCGTGTCAGGGGACACGGCACTATACGGCGCTGCGCCCTTTCACCCCTCGCTCCGTGGCCGTTGTGGCACAATTGCGCCGCATCACGCTTGCGGGCGCGGCGTGCTCGCTCAGTTTCTCAGCTCTTCTCGCCTTCCCTTGCTCCTCCCTTTCGCTCGGCTCTTCCTCCCTCCCACACCCTGCCCTTCCCCTTTCCCCTCCCTGGAGGTTTCCCCCCTCCCTGGAGGCTTTCCCCGTCCTCCTCGTCCTCCTCCTCCTCCTCCTCCTCCTCCTCCTCCTCGTCCTCCCCCTCCTCCTCCTCCTCCTCCTCCTCCTCCTCCTCCTCCTCCTCCTCCTCCCCTCCTCCTCCTCCTCCTCCCCTCCTCCTCCTCCTCCTCCTCCTCCTCCTCTCCTCCTCCTCCTCCTCCTCCTCCCTCCTCCTCCTCCTCCTCACTCCTCCTCCTCCTCCTCCTCCTCCTCCTTCTCCTCCATCCTCCTCCTCCTCTCCTCCTCCTCCTCCCCCTCCCTCCTCCTCCCTCCTCCTCCTCCTCCTCCTCCTCCTCCTCCTCCTCCTCCTCCTCCTCCTCCTCCTCCTCCTCCCCTCTCCTCCTCCTCCTCTCCTCCTCCTCCTCCTCCTCCTCCTCCTCCTCCTCCGCCTCCTCCTCCTCCTTCCTCCTCCTCCCCCCCCTCCTCCTCCTCCTCCTCCTCCTCCTCCTCGGGTCGCCTACGGCCCCGGGGGAAACCGTGCACCGCTCCCCTCCTCCTACACAAGCGGCCGCTCGGACAAAGGACGGGCGAGACGGCGGGACAATCCGGGAGACGCAGCTGAGCGCCCACCCTCTTCCCCCCCGCCCCTTTCTTCTCCCGCCCCTCCCTCCTCTCCCGGGGCGGATCCGGGCCTCCTGTGCCACACAGCAGGGACAACTTTTTTTGGCATTCCTCGCACGGGGCCTGTCCGCGTGGCGTTCTTCGTGCAGGTGCCCGCAGACAAGATCTGAAGGGTCTCCTCCCCTTCCCCTTTCCCTCCCCCTTCCCCTTCCCCCCCCTTCCCCTTCCCTCCCCCTCCCCCTCCCCCTTTCCCTTTCCTCCCCCTTCCCCTTCCCCCCTCCTGCTCCCGCTCCCTCATGCCCCTGAAGCAGCCCATGCACGACGACCGCATAGTCGCTCCCGGGGAGCCGGAGGCACGGCCCATGATTCCCCCCCCCAGAGCTCAAGATCGGCACGGCCTCCGGGCCGATCGGGAGCAGCGCAGTGCAGCGCACGGAGCCGCACGGAGGCCGGGCTGGATGTGTTTCAAGCGCCCCCAGAGGCGGCTTGCGCCCGCCCTGCGCATCCCCACAGGGCCGTGATCGGGGACGTGTCGCCCCGCCCAGGCGCTGTGCCCGTAGGTCCGTCAGCGCCCGCCTCTTGTGGCACCAACCAACCAACCTCCCCTCCCTCCCTCCCCCCGCCCTCCCCCCCCCCCTCTCCTCCTCCTCCTCCTCCCTCTCCTCCTCCTCCTCCTCCTCCTCCTCCTCCTCCTCCTCCCCTCCTCCTCCTCCTCCTCCTCCCTCCCTCCCTCCCTCCCTCCCTCCCTCCCTCCCTCCCTCCCTCCCTCCCCCCTCCCTCCCCCCCCACCTCCTCCTCCTCCTCCTCCTCCTCCTCCTCCTCCTCCTCCTCCTCCTCCTCCTCCTCCTCCTCCTCCTCCTCCTCTGCTTCCTCGAGGATCGAAATGTTCTGGGTGTTTCTGGCTTCCTGTGATCCTCCGTGGACATCCGGAGGCATTCGAGTGCCTCCAGAGTTTCCTGGGGGCCCCTGGAGGCCTCTGGAGGCCTTTGGCGATCTCGTGTGGAGACTTCTGGGGACCCCCTTCCCCTCCTGCCCCTCCTCCTTCGGCGAATGTTTGGGGCACCGTCCTGGGTTTTGACACTGCGGGCCGCGAGAGTGCGACAGTCATGCACGCCGATCCATACTGTGGGCACTCACCGGCATGATCGGGATCAGACGGCGAGTGCCGACTGGCCGACCGACCTCCTTGTTCTCCGTTTGTTCTTCTTCTTCTTCTTCTCCTCCTCCTCCTTATTATTCTTCTTCTCCACCTTCTTATGTTTAGTAGTATTCGTATCCTTATTATCATTGTTATTGTAGTTGTTGTCTTGTTCTTATGCACTATTATAATTATCATCGGTCGTTTCATCAGTGTCATTTATTATCATTACTATCACTATTTGTATGACTATTATTACTAGTTATTATTGAAATTATAATAATGTTGGCAATCTTATTGCCATTTATTATTATTATTATTATTATCATTATTATTATTTTTATTATTATTTTTATTATTGTTATTGTTATTGTTATTATTATTATTATTAACATACTTATTATTATTATACTTATTATGATTAGTATTCTCATTATTATTATTATTATCAATATTATTATCAGTATTAGTATTCCTATCATTATTATTATTCTTATTTATGCTATTCTTATTATTTCTATTGTATCTTCTTCTGCTGATCTCTACAGACCCAAAGCGTCTCTTGAAGCTTGCAGGTCTGCTCTCGAGAGAGGCGAATGCCAGGGTGCTGGAGCCGCCCTCGTCTGTGGTGCTGTTCTGTGCTGGCCTCCATCCGAAGGGCGAGTCGCATCGTCTCGTCCAGTCTGCCCTGATTGGCAGGCCGACCATGCCAAATCGAGGGTACACTTGTCCTCCTTGTCCTCCTCCTCCTCCTCCTCCTCCTCGCTCCTTCTCCGCTCCTCCTCCTCCTCGCTCCTCCTCCGCTCCTCCTCCTCCTCCTCCTCCTCCTCCTCCTCCTCCTCCTCGCTCCTCCTCGCTCCTCGCTCCTCCTCCTCCTCCTCCGCCTCCGCCTCCGCCTCCTCCTCCTCCTCCTCCTCCTCCTCCTCCTCCTTCTCCTCTGTGTCCTGCCTATCCCGACCTGATCATGCAACCCGCATGTTCTTCGGTGCTCTAGGGCCACGTTGCCGTCGGAAGAATCGTGCCCTCTCGGGTGTCCTGTCCAATCAAGCCCGACTCTATGCTGGTCCTGCGGGCGATTCCCGCTATCCCTCGGGCGACGAAATCTCTACATATCCACTGATCCCTGGCCAGGCCCATCCTGAACCCAGGAGCTGTGTATACGCCCTCCTGGCCAAGCCAGGAGAGCGTGGCGCATACGCCGCTGCTGGGTTCAGGATGGGCCCGGCCAGGGAGCAATGGATATGTATAGATTTCGTCGCCTTGAGCCCAAGGGCGAGTCGTGCGCTGAGATCCGACGTTGCAACAGACTCTGCCACATTGCAAAAAATCACGACCAGACCCCCTGGACCCCACCTTTCTGCGTCATTTTCCAAGCCGGATTGATCTGTGAAGGTCCCGGGGCCCGAAATTGAGCGACAACGCCCGTGGTGAAGCAGTTACAACGCCAGGAGGAGGGAGGAGGAGGAGGAGGAGGAGGAGGAGGAGGAGGAGGAGGAGGAGGAGGAGGAGGAGGAGGAGGAGGAGGAGGAGGAGGAGGAGGAGGAGGAGGAGGAGGGGGAGGAGGAGGAGGCGAGGAGGAGGAGGAGGTGGAGGAGGACAGGAGAGGAGGGAGGAGGACGAGAGAGGAGGAGGAGGAGGAGGAGGGAGGAGGAGGAGGCGGAGGCGGAGGCGGGCGGAGGCGGAGGCGGAGGCGGCGGAGCGGCGGAGGCGGGAGGCGGCGGAGACGGCGGAGGCGGCGGAGGCGGCGGAGGCGGCGGAGGCGGCGGAGGCGGCGGAGGCGGCGGAGGCGGCGGAGGCGGCGGAGGAGGCGGAGGCGGAGGCGGAGGCGGCGGAGGAGGAGGAGGAGGAGGAGGAGGAGGAGGAGGAGGAGGAGGAGGAGCAGGAGAAGATCTCGGGGCATCGTATCGTATATGCTGGCTCTGCGGGTGCTCCGCCAGCCGCCGCCGCAGGCTCACTCCTACGGCCTGCTGTTCTTGGAGGAGCGCTCCGCGCCGCGCCTGCCCAGTCGTCGTCGTCGTCGTCGTCGTCGTCGTCGTCGTCGTCGTCGTCGTCGTCGTCGTCGTCGTCGTCGTCGTTGCCCCTCTCGACGGGGCGTCCCCATGTTTTTTTATTGGCGCCAGGTCTCCCCTCCCTGCGCATTCGTCCCCTCGTCCTGCTGCTGCTGCTCCTCCTCCATTTCCTCCTCGCTCCTCCTCCTCCTCCTCCTTCTCCTGCTCCTCCATTTCCTTCTCCCCCCTCTTGCCCTTCTCCTCCTCCTCCTCCTCCTCGTCCTCCTCCCTGCCCCTCCTTTTCCTCCTCCTCCTCGTCCTCCTCCTCATCCTCCTTCTCCTGCTCCCTCGCTCCTCGTTCCTCCACCTCATCCTCCATTTTTCTCCTCCTCCTCCTCCTCCTAGTCCCATTTCCTCCTCGTTCCTCCCCCTTTTCGCCCGTCCCTCCTTCTCCTTCTCCTCCTCCTCCTCCTCCTCTTCCTGCTTTTCCTTCTTGTGTGTGCCTGCGTATGTGTGTGTGTGTGTGTGTGTGTGTGTGTTTGCGTGTGTGTGTGTGTGGGTATGTAAGGAGCCGCCTTCCATCCGTGACAGAGTTGCGAACATGTATGATGGGTGCGCCCACCGCTGCCAATATGTGAAGGAGTTGCGAATCTTGGTAAGACAAATGGCGCTAAGGCGAGAACGACCCCTCCTCCAGCCGTGAAGCTGTTGCACATTTAACGTTTCGGGAGACAGTAGTGAGGACATCTCACTCGCGACGCCCAGCCCGTACAATCGACACGTCTGGGGGTGCGACGGAGGATGCGACGGAGGAGTTGTTTGTCAGGAAAAGGGACGGAGGAGAATGAGGAGGCGGCGGCGGCAGGCGGAGGCGGAGGCGGAGGCGGAGGCGAAAGGCACAGGCGGAGGATGAAGAGGAGTTGGAGGAGGAGGAGGAGGGAGAGGAGGAGGAGGAGGGAGAGGAGGAGGAGGAATGAGACACAGAAGAAGCAACATAGCAATAATACCACGGCTCAGCAACATGATAATGATGATACCAATAGGACTGCTAGGACTAAGAGGACTAGTACGAGCAATATTAACACGATTACTAAGTACACTACTAGGAATATGATGATGAACACATGCTATCACGAATGAACATGGTAATACGGTTAATTCGGAAACTAGTAACACTTGTAATATTGCGAATGAATAACGCGACGACGATTACGAATACTAGCACTGATGATCATACTGCATAAACAACTTACAACTGCTCATAGTAATCCTAGTTCTAATACTAGAATATCAGCGACAATTATGGCAGTACACTGGATGTTAACAACCATAACCGTACTACGTCTGTATATAATACATATATCACGCAACTAGTAATCGTAACGCGACAACTGATATCATCATAATGCTCGTGCTAACTGATAAGAGGAATGCCAATAGACACAATTTTCGTTAAAACAAACAGCAAGACTCAGCATCATACTAATACGAGCACGAATGCTAGTAGTACATCTCGTACTCATAAGATAAAGCAGAAACTTTCGAATACGAGGCATGATACAACTCATAATGATTAATCTATTAAGGATCGTCAGAAGAAGGTTAACTCTATGAGGAGGAAGAGGGGGAGGAGGAGGAGGAGGAGGAAGCGGAGGTGGAAGCGGAGGCGGAAGAGACGGGGGAGGAGGAGGAGGAGCAGGAGGAGGAGGAGGAGGAGCGGGACGAGGAGGATGAGGAGAAGGAGGAGGAAGAGGAGGAGGAGCAGGAGGAGGCGGAAGCGGTGGCAGAGGCGGAAGCAGAGACTGAGGCGGAGGAGGAGGAGGAATCTTAATATAAGTAAGAAGAAGACGAAGGCAAATAACACTGAGGAGAAGAAGGCGAATACTACTAAGAAAACTGATAATAATAATGCGAATCTTATGGTCAGCGCTAAGAATAAGTATAGTACGAATCAAATTATATTACCACGAAGGGACATCGTATTACCAATACGATCAACAATGATACGAATGCGAATGGTAATCTCAAAACTAGGAGGACTACTAATACTAACACGGAAAGCAATAATTCTTTGCATGCGACTAATGGATAGGGTTGACCATAGTATTAATACTGCTGGTAATAAGAAGAAAGAGGAATGATACGACTGTTAACCCTAAGAGTAGGAATGCGACTACTAAAATCAAGAAAGATGCGGATAATACTACGAAGCTTACTTTGATAATAACGCTGATAAGAAGTTCAAACCGGAATCTTTTAATACGAATCAGAATGACAATAATGGCATAAGACAGGGAATCATACATCAATCTTTCGAATACTGAACAGAAGACTTAACATAACAATTCGAATAATCATAGCAAGCATAACACGAATACCAGTAATAATAACGTAATAAGCATCAAACGATATCACTAAGACGCATCACGCGAAAACTAATATTATTCATTCTAGGAATAATCAGGAACTGACATGATAATAAGGACACCTGTAACAATAGTACCATCAACACTACGAATTCAAAAACTGGTAAGGAACATACTACTATCGAAACTAATACGCATAAGGCAACTAATTAGACTACTGCCAAGGAGAGTCGTATTGCTTCTACCACTAATATTATTATTACTATTACTATGACTATTACTATTACGATTATTATTAGTATTACTATTACTATTACTGTCACTGTTACTGTTACTGTTACTATTTCTATTACTACTACTATTAATATCACTATCACTATTACTATTACTATGACTAGCACCATTACTTTTACCATTACTTTTGCTATTAATATTACTATTACTCTTACTACTGCCAATACTAGTTTTTCTACTATTCATATCACTATTACTACCACTGTTACTATTACTATTTCTATCACTATCACTTATATTATTACTAGTACTATTACTATTACTCGTAGTATTACTACCACTATGGCTACTACTAATCTTATTACTATTTCTGTTACTTTTGGTATTACCACTACTAGTACTACTACTATTACTATTACTATTACTATTACTATTACTATTACTATTACTATTACTATTACTATTACTATTACTATTACTATTACTATTACTATTACTATTACTATTACTATTATTACTATTACTATTACTATTACTATTACTATTACTATTACTATTACTACTTCACTATTACTATTACTATTACTATTACTATTTCTATTACTATTACTATTACTATTACTATTACTATTACTATTACTATTACTATTACTATTACTATTACTATTACTATTACCTTTACTTTGACTTTCACTATTACTATTACTATTACGATTGCTATTACTATTACTATTATTATTACTATTACTATTACTATTAGTATTACTATTACTATTACTATTACTATTACTATTACTATTACTATTACTATTACTATTACGATTACTATTACTATCACTATTATTATTACTATTGTTTCACTATCACTATTACCATCACTACTACTAGTACTTTACAACTACTAGTATCATGAACCTTTTATGACTATGACTATTACTCTTATTACTAGCACCATTACCATGCGTACTACTACCACAATTACTATTACTTTACTTTCATTATTATTCTGTTACTTCTTATTATTTCGATGATTATGACTATTACTCTTACTATTCATTTCAGTATTACTATTACTGCTACTATTACTAATACTATTACTATTACTATTACGATCACTATCTCTATCTTTTTTATTGCTACTATTATTATTACTACTCTTATCTATTTTTCCTATTACTATGCTTATGATTGTGACGGTGACTATGACTATCACTATTTCTATTACTTTTACTGTGACCATGACTATTACTATTACTATTACAATTCCTATCACAGTTACCGTCAATATTACTATTTCTATTATTATGATTATTACAGCTATTACTATTACTATTATTATTACTATTACTATTACTATTACTATTACTATTACTATTACTATTACTATTACTACTATTACTATTACTATTACTACTACTTTACTATTACTATTACTATTACTATTACTATTACTATTACTATTACTATTACTATTACTATTACTATTACTATTACTATTACTATTACTATTACTATTACTATTACTATTACTATTACTATTACTATTACTATTACTATTACTATTACTATTACTATTACTATTACTATTACTATTACTATTACTATTACTATTACTATTACTATTACTATTACTATTACTATTACTATTACTATTACTATTACTATTACTATTACTATTACTATACTCTTACTATGACTAGGACTATCATTATTACTGATGTTATTATCATTGCGATTGCTATTATTATGAGTACTACTACTACTACTACTACTACTACTACTCATACTACAGCTAAGAATCGTTCTAACAATCATGAGGAAATGCGGATCATGATAATAATAACGATGCGAATGATACGATAAATAGTAAGGAGAAGGAGAAATAACATACACTTGCCAGTAAGAGCGATACTAACAATGACAAAGCAATACTATTGATGATCATATTCAGAGGAGGAGGAGGAGGAGGAGGAGGAGGAGGAGGAGGAGGGAGGAGGAGGGGGAGGAGGGGGAGGAGGAGGAGGGAGGAGGAGGGAGGAGGAGGAGGAGGAGGAGGAGGAGGAGGAGGAGTAGGAGGAGGAGGAGGAGGCGGAGGAGGATGCACGGCGGCCTCGCCGCAGGAGGTCGGCGTTTCGCGCTCGCACCGCGGCTGTGACGTGGGCCTGGAACTCGCCTCGCAGCTGCTCCAGCGCCTCGCGGGGCCGATGAAACGCCTCACCCTGGCGCTCTGCAGGCCCACCGCTCCTGGCTGGTGGAGGCGGAGGGAAGTTGCGAGGGGTTGCGAGGAGCCCTTAGCACTGCCCCGGGTCGTGGCGGTCAAGGAGGGCGTGGAAGGCAGGACACTTATTCTTGTAGCTGTCAGTCCACATTGCTTCGCTCGTCGGGCTTCTTCTCGGGCCCCCGAAGGCCTGCAGGAGGCCCACAGGCCTCCGGGGACTCTTGGGGACTTTGGAAGCTCCTGGGGGCGGAGGGGGGAGGGAGGGATGGTGGGAGTGAATGGGCGTGTGTGGGGATGTGGTAGGGAGCGGGACCTCAACACAAGACGCGCGCGTCGCTTGCACCAATTCTTCACGCTTCGGGTATTTCCACCGGTTCATCCAAAACCGATGTCCAGTCAAATTGTCGTGCGAGTCTTGCAGAGCTCTTCTGGAATCATGTTGGGAGGGGAAGAAGCGGAGGAGGAGGAGGCGGAGGAGGAGGAGGAACCGTCAGGATGCGCCAGCATTACGCGGCAATCTCCCACACAAAGCATTCAACACGACTGGATCAAAATAGATTGGCCGACCCGACCTACCATACGTTTTTAGGGAGAAGCCGCGATTCCGCTACAACCGTGGGACATCGAGATCATCGACCACGCGCGCAACCTGAATATGAACGTCAGGAGGCCGCAGACAAGGTAGACAGGCAAGACCAAGTCAGGATACGGAAACCGTAAACCACCGAGGCCACCTTCGCCATCATCAGAGTACGACGGTCGTGCCAGAGACCGCGGCGGGAATGGAACTCGGCATCTCAATCCTCGCGGGATCGCATCCGCACAAAAAAGCTTGCAGACCAACTAAGTGAAGGGACGATACCGACAATCACAGCCTATCACGCTTTGGATAGTCCATCAGGTTTCAACCTCATAAAGACGGGTGCCCCAGTAGTACTACACAAAGCAGATCACGAAATCTTCGATTTTCCATCGACGCATTTCTGCAGCACTAATGCAAGCAGCTGGCGGATAATCTTTCGTGCCGGCAAAGGCGCCTACTTGGAGGCATGCGCCGACAACATCCGTAATTCCAACGAGCCCAATTTCAACAACGCTGACTGGGAGGGTGTCAAGCGTGGATTACGATACGGAGGAATACCACCACGAATGACCACATAACACCGCGATAACCTCGACGACAACGGAGAACCGATTCCTTGCGAGCAGTTCCGCGCAGAAGCGGAATTGGACCACTTCGCCAAAGCGGACCGCGCGAGGCGACGACATAGCAAGCACGTGCCACAAGAACGCGAGCGAGGCCATCAATTCCAGCATGAACAATGGCACCCCTGTCGTCAACATCGTCGCGGAAAGCGAGCTCAGGACCAGCGTCCACGTTGTCAAGCCACATCGACAATGAGGCACCGACAACATGGCCGACGACGTGTGCCGCACCGCCAGCGACGAGATGGTCCTATTCTACCACTCGCCCTTTTTCCAGGCCCAGTTCGCCACAGTGGAGCCGCTATCGCACACAGGGGGATGGAAGGCATTGTTTGCCAGGACAAACAGTAAACGGCCAGCGAAGCGACGGGGGATTTTGCGGAACAGCGTGGTCGTGAAGCGCTACTGCGGGTTCTTCAGGACAGAGTTCAGACACATTACAGACGAACGACTACGTGACGTTCAATGTTGGGCCAGATCCAGCAGGAACCCCGACTCTGTCACACACGCACCCTACACTCACCTACATTACCCTCATGAGCGCCAAAAGGAGCAGTGGCATCCTCCTGTTCCTGGGCCTAAAGGACTATTTCTACACATCGGTACTGGATCTTCTCTACAAAGTACCCATTGACGAAGGCAATTAACACGATCAATTGGACAGCCTGGACATGCCGCCGGCGGTCCAACCATTCTTTGCACAAGCGCCCCAAGGCACCCCTCACATCGACAACAACAGACGACGAACACCTGGTTGCCTTACTCAGAGACGCTCATACTGACCTCTGGGCCACAACGAGAGGATCGACCCGCGTTGCCCAACCGCGCGCGGGCGCCCGTCCTGGCGTGCCCATGTCCAACTTCTCCATTCGCGTGGCCTTCGCGGTGATCGCCGAGGCCATTGCCGCAGACGTGGTCGAGCAAGGGATGCAGTGCGACATCGATCTGGACACCGACTCACGGTCCACCTCCGCACTAGACCGCCAATCAACCACCGCGCGTGATAGAGGCCTATCACTTAGAGATGCCGCCTCCGTTGACGACCTGATTGCGCGCGGTGCCGGAGCGCCGCGGCGGGTCGCGCGTGCAGATCGACGACGCTACCGCGGATCGTTATTGCAAGAATACGGGGCCGCGTCGTGCGACTCAGCGCGAAGGCAATCAATATCATGTTGCTCTCATTGGGCAACGAATCAAGGGCAGCAGAGGTGCTCGTGGCCATGTGGGATATCGCATCCATGCCCATCAGCTACGCCGACCAGACTGTCGACTTAAGTGGGCTCAGACAGCGCTCAGCGCGGCCCTCGCCGCCGCGGCAGCAATGGGGCCCGAGTCGTAGAAAGAACCACCGAGCCAAGGCGATGGTCAGTCGAGGGCCCCATCCGCGTGTAGATCTGCTACCGTGGGGACATCCCAACCGATGTGAAAGTACTGTGCGACGACTCACTTGTGCTTTCTATTTTGACCTACAGCGACCGCGCGTGGAGTTGCCTCGCAGAGACGGACAGCGCAGCCCTCGCAGGCGAGCGCTTGAAAGGACGCCGCCGAGCAGCGGGCCACCGCGCCGCGGACCAAGTATCTACCGTCAGCCGCTGGCCAGATGCCCCGCGAGGTTGCGTGACGGGCAAGAAGACTACCGTGCCTATCAGTGCTGGATTGGTTGCGTTAGTGGGGTTTCTTGATCAGGAATTGCAGGGGCTTGCTGTTTGGGCCGCAACTATAGCATGCGACATGTAATCGATGTGCAGCTACCTGGGCGCCGCCGAGCAGCCGACCGAGACGGCGGACATCCGCGAGGTGCTCCACGCAGAAACGTGGTCGCGATGTACCTGCGACGACAGGCGTGGTAAGCGCGCCGGGAGCAGTGGTTCCGAGCCCTGTGGCCAGGCCAAACACGGAGGGGGGAGTGCCGCCAATGCCGAGCATGCTGCTTCATGCGCTACCAATGTGGAGCAACCTTTACCGAATGGCGCCTACTGCGTCCACCTTGGAAAGCGCCGCAAAATTGGGGCCCGCCCTGCGCGATGGGCGCGGGGCCCCATCATGTGCGTGGCGCGCGGCGACCAGTGGCGCGCGTGCGCGGGGCTGATCAAGCACCTCCAGGCAGCCCCATAATGCGCGGCAGTCCGCCCGTTGAGCGACGAGGGGTCCGAGGACGAAAGTCAAAGCGTGCGACAGGTACCCGGCGAAGCGACGGCGAGGCAGGCAGACCGCCCGTCCGCGCGCGCCCCCCAGCTACAGGACCGACGTCATCCCTGCATCCGCCGAAAGCAAGAACGCTGCGCGCGATGTTATTTCACCAGTTGAGCTACCAGCAGGTGACCCGCGCGCGCCCAATCCAGCAATGCCGCGACCCCGAGGACAGCCCGTGCGTTTCGTCCTGCACCTACTGCGGGCTCCGACGGGATGGAGACGCGCAGTGGTGGATGAGGCGCTTCCAGCCGCCGCGCAGAGCTCGGATCAACGCGCTGTCCATCGTCCTGGCCGACCGCCCTGCCGCTGGAGACCTGTGCAACTGGGCTGCGATCGACTTCTGGATCAGCCAGGTGTGCGAGTGAAGGGTCGCAGCAATTATGGCCGTGCCACCGCGCGAGGCCTGGGGCGCTGCTTGGACTTGAGACCTATCTGACGTCAAACATCAACTTCGACCATTGCGGGGCAGAGACCAACCGTGGGGTCTAAGCCGTCGGACGGAATGGGTGAGCGACCAATAGGCGTAGGCAACGTTTCGCGTCCGCAACGATACTCATGTTGTACGTCGCGTATGCCGCAGGGATGCCTGCCATCGTGGGGCCGAGGCGGCCCGCGACAGCAGACAAGTTCCGAGCAGCTGGCACCTGCCGCGCCGACCCTATGCACGACGCGTGCCCGTCGACCAGTGTATGATGGAACAGCGGGCGCGGAAACCCGCGAGCTCATCGGGGATCGGCGTGCCAGTGCCAAGGCCCCCTATGCGCATCTTGGTCAAGCCTAACATATGGAGATGCAGCCGTGGGCCTGGGGCTCACCCGCCATTGCCGGGGCGCGACGGAGACGGCGCGTGGCGATGCGTGGCGGCCGATGTCTATCCGACCGCGCTCAACAGGAGACTGGCGGCGTCATCTCCTGAAGCTATCAGAAGGAGATGCGCGGCGACGCCAGCGACGGGAGATTGGAACAGTGAGGGGGCATGCTTCGTTTTCTACGTGCCACCCGACCTGTTCTTCGACTTCAGACGCAGCGCGGATTGCGTGGCGCGCCGGCATTTCGCGCGGACGGGGCCACGGGGCCACGACCACCTAGCACTAGAAGCGCCGCGACCTCCTTTCGATGCGCCGTAGCGACTGACAGGGACTAATTAACAAACCGTGCGGCCCACATAGCTCGGGGCTTGTCTTCTGATGGGCTCTAGCTCAATTCATCCTTGAGCTGCGTCTACCAGGGGTTCTTGCGCGCCTGACCCGAGGGGGGGGCTGCCCCCCTCAGTCGACCATGTCGCCGAACGGGGCGACCAGCGCTCAGCAGAAGTACCATGTCAATCTGATCGCCCCCGTCCGCAATGCGCTGCCCCCCCCCGCTTTGCGCGCCATCAGCAGGCGCGTGGCTCAAGGGGCCGGGCGCTGCATCGCTGTGTCCGAATCCTGAGCAACGCAGTTCGCCGAGGAACAGTCCGTCATGGAGCCAGCGGTCTTCGGCCCATGCATCGCGGCCATCGAGTGCATGACTCTCGACCTCCTACCCAAGATCACTTGCGTCAGAATCGACGGGATCACAGTGCATGGATGCGCATCGCCATGGGCTGGGACATTCTCGCGCCGAGCTTGCAGTTC